TTGATGATGTGACAGATGTGCATGCTGTTGAAAGAAAGGTAGATCTGCCTGAAGAGGATTCAAAGTTAGAGGAGGAGGAGGAGGTTAGAGGAAAAAATGTAGGAGGGAAGGAGTTGGAAACTGAGCCTGGATTTGATGATGTGAGAGATGTGCTTGCCGCTGAAACAAATGTAGAAGCGCGTGAGGAGGACCCAAAGTTAGAGGAGGAGGTTAGAGACAAAAATGTAGGAGGGAAGGACTTGGAAAAGGAAGCTGGATCTGGGAATGATATAGATGAGCAAGAAAATGAAAAAATGATCAAGGAGAGTGTTGGAAAAGAAATAATATTAGAGGACGAGCGTCCCGACGTGGAGAAAGGGATTGCTGATTTTGTGAAGCCTGAAAAGCATGATGTAGATACAAATGAATCCACGCAAGGTATGTAAAAATGAATTCAAAGTTAAGTTTTACATCTTTATATCCAAATGAAACAGATTTTCTACTTCTAATTGTTGTTATTTGCAACATATAGGGGACGTTGTAGAAATTGATGAGGCGGGATCCGATCCATTGAAATTCATAACGAGTTCTAAGTCGTTACGCAAAATCAGAGAAGCAGTGTATTTAACATTGAAACGATATGAATGTCGTTTTGTTTCCCAGAAACGAGATAGAAATCGATTTAGTATAAATTTTTAGGGAAATGACTTTTAAGTCGTTATTTATGCTCATAACGAGTTCTAAGTCGCTACACAAAATTAGAGAAGCAGTGTGTATTTAACATTTAAACGATATGAATGTCGTTTTGTGTCTCGAAAACGTGGTATAAATCGTTTTAATATAAATTTTAACTGAAACGACTTTTAAGTCGTTATTTATATTCATAACGAGTTCTAAGTCGTTCAGAAAAATCAGAGAAGCAGTGTGTATTTAACATTGAAATGATATGAATTTCGTTTTGTGTCTCAGAAACGATTTATAACTCGTTATGTTAATCTGTACAATTTTTGAACTGGAACGACATTCATGTCTACTATAATGACATGAACGTAGTTTGCATTCCCTGTGAGAAGATAGGAACATGAATACCTAAAGTACTAAAATTTGATTCCAACGGTACAAAAATATTTCAATAACACAATGAGTACAAAATCTAATAAGTGATTTCATTCAGTTGATATAATAAGTACGAAGTCGTACAGTTACAAAATAAGATAGTGTTACAACATTAATGTTCACTACTAGCTGCTTGGCCCGTGCAAGTGGATCGAACATGACCAATTTTCTTGCACCTGCTGCACTTACGAGCCACACGCGTCTCTCCGGCCAATATTTTCCTCTTTTTTGATGGTCGTTCGCCCTGTCTTCGTACCAATGGTGGAAATACTTCTCTGCTATTACATTCTTAGGAATTTGCCATTCGACCTCGTTCGGCAAAGGATATACGAATTTAGAATAAGCTTGCTTCCAACAAATACTAGTGTAAAAGGGGGTACATAATTTATAGCCCTCGTCTCCTTTAAACCTTGCTACAGCAATTGCATGCGCACATGGAAACTTGTCCAAATCAAATCTTCTACACGTACATGTCATTTCGTAAAAATCCACAAAGTGGTGTTCTAAATTGTCACCAACTTGATAAATGTCCGGAGAAACCTGATTTACCTCCAACCCATTTGACTGATTATATGTTATGCACATCTTTTTCTCTAATGCTGGCGTGAGTTGGGTCACACATTTTTCTGCTTCAACATGTCTTTCATAAAACCACCTTTGTAGTATCCCACGAATATATTCTAGTAAACCAACTATGGGAAGTTCTCGAACACTCTTCAACAAACCATTTATAGATTTCGCATTATTAGTAGTCATAATATTGTAACGTATCCCGATAAAATGCGCTCTAGCCCAACATTGAAAATCTTCTTCTAATAGGTACTTTTTGATGCCCTCCTTTTTACTGCATAGAGCTGCCATGTAGAACTCAAATTCGATTACAGTATAAGCCTCTGATGCTGCCCTAAACAAAGTTGCAACATCACACCGTGGAAAATTTGTCTTCAAGTTCTTTTGCAAGTGATATGTACAATTACCATGATGAGCAAATCGAAACACATTTCTAACTCCATTTTTGATGCACTTTCCACGATCAGATATAATCACAAGGTCATCCGTATCACCTGTTATTAACCGCAACTTCTGAAAGAACCAAGTCCAGGATTCATCATTTTCCGAATCAACTACTCCCCATGCGAGTGAAAATATTTGAAAATTTGCATCCTGAGAAGTTGCTACGAGTAGAGTACCTTTCATTCTCGATGTTAAGAATGCACCGTCTACAGAAATTACCTTTCGCATTGAGTTTACGAACCCATGTATACTTGGTCCCAATGCCATAAAAAGGTACTTGAAGCGCCGATCATCATTAGTATGAATGAATGTCAGTGTACCAGGATTTTGCATCTCCAAAACATGACAATACGCTGGCAATTTCGCATAACTCTCACGGGGTTTCCCATAAATCAGTCCACAAGCAAAATTTTTAGCCATGTACGCTTTAGTATAGCTTACGGTTATGCCAAACTCTTGACGAATGTCATTAATAATGTCCCTTAGTCTGTAAACTCGATTGACATCTTCATACTTAGGAGCGATGTGGTTTTCAATAATCATATATGAAGCATGCCTATGATCTCTGTGACGAACACTCATGGAACAAGAATGATGACCATTGTACTTTTGAACTTCGAAAATGGGACTTTCTACGATCTTGGTTGCCTGTAAGCGCCACTTGCAATTTTCATCAATACAAACAATTGTATAAGTGCTCTTATTGGACTTCTTAACTTTGTACTCAAACTGGCACTTCACAGCTAGCAACTGTAATTTTGATATTAGGTCATATTTCGATGGAAACAACTGGTTGACTCGCATATCTAATCGTTCCAGAATTTTTACTGATGTCTCGTAACAGAGCGAACTTACACTTTCAGATACAATCTGAGTACATTCAACATCATTACCATTCACTACATCCCTACTGCAAGGTTCATGAGTGCGTAACTCAAAATTATTGTCATCTGCCATAGGAGAATTAACTTCGTCATCTACCCTTCGAGGACTATCTTCACTTACGTCAAAACCATTACAATCTACAAATATTCCATTGATTGGTGCAGCTGGAGCTTTAGACATTATCGAGACGAGCTGAAATCTTCATTTTGTATAAACTCGTATCGATATTCAATGCCTCCTTAACTTTATCATATAGTTCCATGTAAGAAATTGTTTTTGCAACAAGAATAGGTATTGTTTTCCCTTTGCCATTTCCAGAATACTTCCATTTCCATCCACCTTCAACTGTCTGCTCATATTCAATTGGATAACAAACCGATATCCATACCATGTCCATGGTGTCCATAACCTGTAACTCAACATATAAATTTCATCAAATTTCAAACGTCATACAGTATTGATAATGATATGTACGTTGTCATGGATTTCAGAAAACGATATCTTTGTCGTTCTCAATTTCATAAAACGGTATGAATGTCGTTCTGTACTGAAAAAATCAAATACACGTTTCACGTGAAAACAATGTGAAAAAAGCCAATCATCCTTCACCACTTTACATTTCACTTCAATTAATTCTAAGAAATACAAATAAGGGGTAATGAGAATAAAATTGGGAAGTAACCCATTTAAAGATCCAATCAAATCATAAAATAAATTCAAAATTATTATTGAAAAATGAACACCACAAACACATATACAACAACATGAACGGATGATTCAAAATAATGGAGAAAGAAAGTGGCTCAAATATCGAAAATTTACCATACCATCTCTTCTTCTCCAAATGCCCAATAAAAATATAGCAAAACTTTATTATTCACTTCAACCAAATGAATGTTCAAGGGAATGAGAATGTAGATTTTGTGATTTCATTAAGTAGAGAAGAAGATGATGATAAGAAATCAGTATGGCGGCATCTACAGTGGTTGAGTCATTCTTAGAGGAGGGAGGGAAGGAGATTAGGGTTGAAAGGAAATTGAAATGAAAATAAGGGCAATATCATCATTTCGCATACAAGGATATTTTAGTCTTTTACAAATTCTATTTTCCATATTTAATAACTTTAGGCCTTTCAACTAAAAGTCTTAGTTCTTGGTCTTTTTGAACAAATGTTTAGTTTGACCAAGCCTTTTAAATGAATCCCCCATATGTGTATTTCTTTGTTTTAATTCGCTACATTATCGTGTTTACTATTTTGGATTCAGAATTTCAATCGAAATTTCCCTGTTTGAATATTGTATTACTTGTGAATTCGCAGATATTATATTGTAATTCACTTTTAAGCGGACAGAGTTTTATTGTGATTGATTCTGTTGCCTTCCCCGTTTGAATGATATTCATCTGCGCCTGCTCATAGTTCAAGTGAAAATACAGCTAAAAATACATTCTAACTGCCCCGCGGAGTTGGATGATGCTGTGAAGCAATTAGAGGAAGTCACTGGTTCTGTCGTCCTTGGTCAGATTTGTAGAACTGTGATTCTCTATATACCGAGCCTGACCAAGCTAAAGGAAAAATGAGAGAAGAGAAGACGGGCTCAGAAGGTTTCGCAAGAAAATAACAGGCATTGAATCGAGCATCTCAGGTTCTTATGACATTCTTCATTACGTTTGATAAATAAAGTTTTTGTGCTCGAGAGGGTTTCTGAACTTGGTGGCACTCGATGAAAATCGCAGAGTAGAAGACCAACAACCTTGGGAGCACAAGAACAACAAAGACAATATGGTCCGTGGTCGACATGGAAGCAGCGGATATTGAGGTTTTGTCGCATTCTATGAACGACCCTTTTCCGTAGACAATTGGGGCTAGAAAAAGTTTTGACAAGATGCCGGGAGAAGATCCTCTGCAAATGGCAGCCGTGCAGGTCTTGCAGTTAGTGCTTAGATTTCATACAATGCCTACATTTTCTTTGATCAGCATCTCTCAATATCTGGCTTTATATTCATAGTGATATTAATATTCTAGAGAATTCGTAATGCTGCAAGAATTGAATCGTAATCCCACATATTCGTGGGCAATAATGTGAATTCCTGACATGATTTGTATCGTTTCTATTGCCTAATACAATATATTTTGCTTCTAAAATACAAAAGCTGAAAACTACATTAGAATCCGCAGATTACAACATGCCATCCAGAACTACTCCTATTGGTGCCAATCCTTTGAATATCATGATATGAATACCACGTACAGTTTGTCTATTCTGACATTTGTCTTCATAAACTATACAGTTTTCAGCTTCCCGGCTTGATAATGAGTAGCATCTTCGGAGTAGAGAATCCCATTTGGTAATGTCAGGCGTCGTAGTGCAACAGAAAACCGAGCCTGGCGAGAGACGAATTATCATCTAATCAGATGATTTGCAAGACTATAAGGTGGCAGGAATATTATAGCCGTATACATACCCATTGAAATGAAACGAGTACAAACCAACACCCAGTTAAGCCATAACCGCTTCTGCTCAGCAGCTATATAATAACAAGAAGTAGAAAGTTTTTTATAAATATAGAGTTAGTCACACAGTCAAATTAAAATAGAAATTCAGCAAATTTTAACTATGTTTTCCCTTCCAGCATTGTCCAATCTATTATAGAAATCACCACGAAAAAAAAAGTGAAGAAAGAGCAGAAAAAGGCTATGATAGGAATGAAGGTACAAAATGGAAGTACGGAAAATATAAGTCCAGCAGTCAAAACTAGGAAACAAAAACTGAATCACATACCAGCAGGAGAAGAGTGCCCAAACAAAAGATCGTGCTCATTGACATACTAATGAATTTCAAGTCTCGTCCAGCCTGCAGAATTAAGAAACATCCTAGTGTAAGAATTCTGGTATCTGTGATATTTGATATTCATAAAAGTAGAGAGACCAAAAGTCAGTGAATAAACTCAAAAGTGCAAAAGAGATGCTACAGACAAGAAGAGTCTGAAACCCAGAATCGCAAACTATATTCAGACTTTCATGTTTGTTAGAGATCACGATTTCCTCAACCAAAATAAATGGGTAAAGAAACAGATACTGAAAAGTTTCAAAATTCTCTTTTGCCCTAAACCAATTTAAAGAAATTGGTATAAGTGGGTTGAATAAACTTCATCATTGGGTCTAGGGCTGGGCAAATCTACCGAACCGAACCGACCGATCCGAACCGAACCCGACGGTTCTTGTCAAATTAAATACCCAAACGGGTATCTGAATTGAGAACCGACGGGTACGGTTCGGTTCTCGGTTCTAGACCAAGAACCGAAAAATCGAATAAGAACCGAATATTTCTAATTTTTTTTTATATATATAGAGTAAATCAAATTATTTTAATTTTAATTTTTTTCCAAACAAATTAACAAATTAATGATTTTTAAATCCAAATTTTTGGCCCAATAATTTGTTTCATTTATAATTTTTTAATTTTTGGTCCAATTACCCATTTTATTGTTTCATTTTTTAGCCAAATAAGATCAAATCCACTAAATAACCCTAAACACCTACACTAAAGTGCATAATGTTGTCTCGACTCTCGCACTCACTCTCGTAGCCTCGCTAATATTCCAAAACCTATACAATCGTCGACCGACACTCTGACCTTCGATCGAAGTTGTGACTTCCGCCAACCAAAGTTTTGATCGTAGCGATCATTTGAACAAGGTAGTTTACTGGTCTCTGACATTCCAAAATCATTGAATGTATCATTAGTCGTATTTATATAACGTTGTTATAAATGTTAAAAAATTTAATTATAGTACAGAACCGAACGGAACCAAACCCGAACGGTTCCATAATTATATTTGGACCCGATGGTTCCATTTACTAGATACCCGAAAAGTTTAGTTCGGTTCGGTTCGGTTCGGTTCTAAAGAGAACCGAACCGAACCGACCCGCGCCCACCCCTAATTGGGTCGAAATACTAAAATGAAACTTGTGGCGCATTTCTCTTTGTAGCAAGGAAAAGGAAATAACAAAAAGTATAAGATAGGACCAACATACCAACAACGTGCCTTCAAGGCTATGAGTACTAGGTGTGATAAACAGTGCAAGGAAGTAAGGGACCAACACCTTGTGCATCTGCAGCAAATAAGATAAAACTCGGTCGTGACTACATCCAGTTTATCATAAAGGATAGGCATTTTCTTAATAACAGAGCAAGCCGATCATGTACCAACTGCTGCAATGCGAACAGTTTTCTTTTACCTTTCAGAGGAGTAAATCAACCAATGCTCAGATTTTAATATATTGTTTGCAAAATCAATACTGTAATTAAGTAATTGTTTCTTTCAAATATCCGTTTCCAATTTCCCATGTGTTTCATTATTATATTGTTCAACGTCCAAAATACATCACCTTCACATAAAATCTAGAGAATAAAAGAAAATCAACCGACCTCACGTCCAACCTCAGGATCGGAGGAAAAGAGTTTAGGGAATAGCCACGGAACTGATGTTCCGATAGATCCCAATATCAGTCCACTTAATGCACCGATAATGACCAGGTACTTCAGTAATGTTCGAGCCTGTTATTCATATTAAATTGTTCAGAAAAATAGTTCAATGTCCGAAAAGACGAGGAAAGAAAATATTTGACCATTATTTTCTGAAATTCCTGTGAAACGAACTTCTAAAAATTTTATGAACCAGATATGAATATTCCTGTCTCTTGTTATAATTATTACAGAAGTAAAGTGACTATTAATTTATGAATGAAAAAACCTCAACCTTTGCTAAACTTCGATTAGCTCCATATATCAGTTCAGGCATAAATGACTGAGCTGTTTGAGAAAGAGGCTCACCCCATACAGCACACATGCTATACAATTGTATCATGACCTAAAAAACAGGGCATTTAGCGACAATTTCCATGAGTTAACTGGAAAGGAAACTACGCCCAGAGGAAAAAGAATATTAATATCGTAAAACTCAACCTGATGAGCAGCAACAGTTTGTGTTCCCATTGATGTAGCGAAGTAGATGATTAGTGCGTAAAATGCTACCTGAACAACAATAAGTCAGATTAATTATATGATTTTTGGAAGAAAAAAGAAAGCAGTAGAATCAAGGCAGGTATCACAAGCCTTTGACATCATTGTCACAAACACTGGAGCTGCGAGCGTGAATATCTGAAGGAGTTCCTCTGCTGATGGAATAGAGATGGAAAAACCATTATATCCTTTCTTGTTCAGAGCTTCAATCATCATGTAACCTGCAACAACCTAAGACAACAGCATTATAGAGGAAAAGTGAATCAAATCTAACGTAGTATTAGTTATAACTTCTATGTTCAGCAAACCTGTGACACCATTGTTGCCCATGCCGCTCCAGCAATACCATATCCTAAGAATCTGCACAAGACTATGTCACCAATGCCATTTATAGCACTTGCCACAGCCAAAGCCTTTAAAGGGCCCCATGAATCTTTCATTCCTAAGCTGTTCATCAAGAAAAAATACAGAGTAAGCTTATTTAGAGGACTGATCAGTTCAAGATCATGAATTTTGGATGATATACATCCGACTAAAGCTTATTTGAACAAGCGAACAAGTGAGCAAGTTAGGAGATACATGATCAACTTCAAGATATTTTTCGCACTAAATCTTTTACAGCTGACAGGCTTGGTGATTCTTAAGTCTTTAGAGGTAAGAAGATACTTGTCTCTAAGAAAGCTTCGCTAAGCACGGTCTTAGTTAAAAAAAACTGCACACTGATAGAAAATTATACAAGCACACATGCGAGTAAGAAGACAATTATCCTAGAGGTATTTGGCTAATGTTGAATTCTGGCATATAATATCACTGGAAAACGAAATTTAGGGGGTTGTGATAGGTAGAGTAAGGAAAAATACTAGGACGACCTATTATAAAATCATAAATTAGCCAACAATCCTGACTCCAACTAAAATTAGGGGAATCGTGACCACAAATATAGTCAAAGCAATTCAGAGAACAATCAGCAAATAAGTCTAGAATGGCTGGTGTAGACCTGGCACTTTGAGCAACCCATCCAATCAGCACTGCTGGCCATGCTAAGCCTCGAATCTGGTAAAAGAAATAAGTTACTTGCAAACAAAGAGAAATTCATTTTTAAGGTAAACAAAGAGAAAACTGATCAAAGAAAAATATAATTTTCTCTAAATTAACTAATAGATTATGTTTGCTGAAGTGAGGACCATAATTCTTGAAAGACATTTTCCACAGTAGATTTGAGAAAACTATCGAATTACAGGAGGGAAAATGATTACTTCCAGCATGCAAAATGTTCAAACTCTAGATGCAAATGGCTTTGTGAAGTTTCTTGTCCGATGGATTCTATTAATCCACAGCACTGAGCAACTTAATAGGTTAAAACCATTTGCCCATAAGTAAATAATTATCTTTTATACATCTTCAGAAAGTGACTTCTCTTCTCTGTAACACAAACACTTCAACTATGATAGCGTTTTCGTATCGGATATGTGTCAATACCCGACGTTCATAAGACATTCTACCATAATTATTTTTCTTTTTTACTAGTAATATTATATATTTTTAACTGAAACTTATTAGTAAATAACAAATATGTACTCATATTTAAAATATTTCAACAAGAAAAATTAATAATAAGTATAAAACTAAATTTATATTATGCCCTTGTTTGAGCCACTTTTTTTGGGAAGAATGAATTTTTGAATAGTTTATTGATTGGAAATGTGTGATTAAAAAATAAGGAAAAGTTTTGAGTTTGCGTGTAATATTATTTTATTAAAGAATGTGTAGTTGAAATGATGTCAAAACATTGTTGAAGAATGAATTTTTCCAAAAAATGAAGCTCAAACAAGGGCTATATAAATGAAGAATTTAATCAACATGTCAGCGACATATCATGTCATTACTTTTTTAAAAATCATTCGTCATAGTTTCTCTTAAATGGAAGTTCATTTTAGCATTCCCTTTTTATATCCCCCGGGGGGGGGGGGGGGGGGGGGGGCCTAATTGAACTGTCCTGCTCCATAAAAGCCATTCCACAGTAACACCAAGTAACAGTACGCATTCCCGACAAAAATAGTGCTGAAAGAATAAAAGACTTACAATCCAAAATTATCATATACTTTAGCACAACAATAATACGACTAAGCTAGAGATGAGGTGAACCTGAACATATGTGTTCGATGCAGCTACGATCTCTGCATTATTTGCCCCAGTAAAAGCTGGAAAGAAACAATATACAATTTAATCATCAATAATAAAATATGATGAACCGCTAAAAAATATAGTTAGAAATGCCATGCTTAAGTCCCTATTTACCAGTCAGTGCTGAGACGCCGTAAAATCTAGTGAGCAAAAGCATCAGAAAACCACTAGCCAATCCAATGAATAACAAGATAGAAATCTGATGCTGCACCTCATCTTTATCCTGCATTGTTAGACTATATATTTTTATATACATATGCCTCTTGAACATAATCAGAATTTTCAAAAATGCCAATCAAAATTCCATTGTTACAACTTACGACACTAAGTAATTCAGTAGGTATATTTCCATAACTGACCTGTCTAGCAAGAGCCGTAGCTACCATATTTGAAGTAGCAATTGAAAGGAACATGAAAACATAACTTGCATAATCGCATAACACTGTTCCTGGCCCTGCCAAATTACCAAAAAGGAAAAAGAGAGACAAGAACGAAAGTTCAGTTGACAAGAAAAAATTCAGTAAAGAAAGTTTAACCAAGAATAGAAAAATCAACTTGGTTTATACCTAAAGCTGCAAGCTCAATGGAGCTGCCTTGGCCAATAACAGCAGTGTCAATGAGACTCATCAACGGCCCACATATCCAAAGCCCAACTGCAGGTCCAGAGAACTTCACAATCTCCACCATTTGAGTCCATATGCTATCATTCTCTGAAAACTCCTGTATTTCAGTTGCAGCAGACTCTTCAGTAAACTGTATTTTCTCTACTTCTTCTTCTTCTGTAACTGGAGAAATTTTTTCAGCATTCTCTAATTCACGGATTGGATAAATACAATGCGTTATCAACCGATTGTTTTTGCGACCCAAAATTCGGTAACTAATTTTCGGAAAAATAAATTTTCGATCGAATTTCTTGTTGGGGGTCTGAAAATAAGGAATGTGAGGATGATTAGCTACGGTTTTGAGATTCATGATACTGAGGCGCTTGAAAGAGAATAATCAAAAATTAAAGGGAACCCTTGATGCTTAAGGAATGGGATGAAGAAAAGAGGAAAAACTATGAGTAGGTGGAAAAGAAAGAGAAAAGGGAGGGGGCGAATTTGGACGGAAAATGGAAAGGGAAGGGAAGGGAAAAATATGAGCCACGTGAAAAAGAGTTTTTAATTTGTGATAGGTTGTATTTTCGCAGAGTTAAATAAATCCCTGCACAGTAACATTTAGGTCCGATCACTATTTGCTGATTTTAAAATAAAATGTTATCGAATGCTCACTCATTTTTACAAAGAGTGACTCATCCATCACCCGATTACTTCCATCCGCCTACCTAGACCAAAAAATGACAAGTGGAGGATGAAAATTTTACGTGTCAATTAACCACGTTAAGTTTTGACACCTGGAATCTGCTCATGCTAATTATCTTTTAGGGTAATTGACTCAAAACGTCTCAACCTTTTAAGGTTATTGTAGAAAACGTCATTATCTTTCATTTTTTTTTTACAAATTTGTCCCTATTTCCACATTTCTTTGCGCTGGACGTCCTTTTTACCAATTTTCAACGTAAAATGATCAATAAGCCTTCATATTTAAATAAAACAAAAGAGAAAATAAAAGAAAAATAAAAAAAATAAATTGCAACTGTAGGCTCAAACTTTTAAAAGTGCAAATAACCCCCCAAAATATTCACCTTCTTCCCACACCTCACCCCCACTCCACTGCCACCCCTCCCCTCACAAAATAACTTCGGCAGTTAATTCTTGGGATGTCACCGGATAGCTTGGCTGCAAAGGTAGCCGGAAAAGATGAAAGCCTAGATGAAACTTCTGTAATTTAGCTTCTTCTTTTTTATGTCAAAAATGTAAAACTTATGTTTCTATCTTGTCGGCAATTATGTGATTCCTTCTTTTTCCCCGTCTTTTCAACAGCGCCCAAAGTCTCCCATAATAGCCATTTTCTCTCCATGCTTTTGTATTTTTGTGCGTGTAATATCCTCAATTCGGTCCCCAAAAACAGCTACACAATGTCTCTCCAATTTTCTGCCCTAGCCACCGACTTGTAAAAAAAGAATAATCCCCAAAAGGAATTCCAATTTTCTTTCCCAAGCAGCCTCTGTGATTCAGTTTGGAGGGCTACACTTGCCTATAATTCACCTTGCAAATACTGGTCTCTTAAACCAATTTTCAACATCTTTTAGACATCCTGTGTAATCCAAACATACAAGTTAGAGCATGGTGAAAATCGACACAGAACAACCCATTTGTCGAAAAATGCGAATACTAAATTTGGGCATGATAAAATTGGTATATTATGTTGAAATTGATGAGGACCCATTGTTGTAATAGTTGGTATGCTGGAATGGATGGTCTGCAACAATGGGACCAATTACCAACGCCGGAATTGATGGAAGAAGCAAACTGGTTTCTCTAACTAGTTAAGAGTTTCTTCTAAGTTTTGGATGGTTATAGGATCTGTTTGTGTAATTGATTGATGGGGAAGTGTTTGTCAGTTTGTGGCTTAAACTTGCCTGTAAAGGGAGCAGTTTCATGTGATTTATGCGGTGGTGGGTGGTGGTTTGATTATGGACCGTCGGATGCCGGTGGCTCCATTCACAAAGGGTGGTGGTGTTTTTTCCTTTTTTTATTTATTTAAGTATATATTTGTAATCGATTTGTAATTTTTAAAAATTTTGGGACTATTGTTGCAATTACTTATTTATTTTTCCTTTTCTTTTCTTTTTGTTTTATTTAAATAGAAGGGTAAAATTGTCAAAAATGATGAAAAGAACGTTCAATACAAAGAAAGGTGAAAATAGGGGCAAAAATGTTAAAAAATGAAGGTATGGACGTTTTACACAATTACCTTGAAAGGTAGAGATGTTTTGTGTCAATTACCCTTATCTTTTTCGACGAAGCTTCTATTTGTTTGCTGCACAAATTTGATAAATCTATTCAACCCGGTAGAAAATCGTGAGCCTATTCTTGGTTCACGTTATTTCTCCTTAATTACACATGGACAAGAAAAGAAATTTATTTACTCCAATGCTGTAATTTGTGTGTTCGTTCCTCAGCAGAATTTGATAACCTATTCAACTAAACGGCAGGAAAAAATTGAGTCCAATTCTAAGCTCACATTACAAGAAAGTTCCAACTACAATTTCAATGAAAAGAACCAAAAATAAAATAAAATAAAATAGAAAAGAAAAGGAAAAAAAAGGATGTTTAATTTAGAGCTCAAATGATGCAATTACAAATTGTCTGAAATATGGACTTCTGTATCATCTTCACATTCCAGTAGAGTTTGTACCACAAGCAATTGTTGGAGGAGAATAAATGGGTCAGTTATGGCTCTGTAAGGGAAGAAAAGAATTTGGGATGAACAAAGGGAACAAATGTGATTTTCAATTTAATGGGAAATACATGAGTGCAAATCCCATGTGGCAAAATTTAACGGGGTTAATTGACACATAAGATCCGTCACGTGTAATTTTTTTGTCTAGGTAGACGGATGGAAGCAATTGGGTGATGGATGGAAAACTCTTTATAAAAATGAGTGAGCAGTCCGTAACATTTTATTTTAGGGTGAGCAAGTGGTAACCGAACTTAAATGTTAGTGAGCACGGATTTAATTAGGGGAAAATTTCATAAGTAAGAGATTAAGGATGACATATTTCAAAATTAAGAAAACAAGTTTCAAACTTCAAAAATCAGATTTTTATTAAAATGTATTTACGATTTAATTAATTAATTGAATATATTTAGGTCACATATCTATATAATTTGGTCATAAATTAACAATTTAATTAGTCACTTATTAATTTTTTGGTCACAAATCAAAAATTTTATAGGTCACAGTTTGTTCATTGGTCACAAATCAAAAAATTAATTAGTCACGAATTAATCTCCAATCACAACTTATCAAATTATTGGTCACAATTTATTTTTCGGTCACAGATCGAAAATTTTATAGGTCACGTATTATTTTTAGGTCACGAATAAAAAAATTTATAGATCACATATCACAAATATTATAGATCACAACTTATTAGATAGTCACAAATTATTAATTTTTGAGGTCACACATTATTTCTTGATCACAATTTATCTTTCTCATTAGTCACATATTGTTTATTGGTCACAGATAAACCAATTTAATGGTCACAATCAAACAAATAGTTTGTGACCACCACTACCACTTGCTGACAACCACTACCTCCATCCGCACCACCGCCACTGCTGGCAGTACCACCACTACCCAATAGCAATACTGCGGTCTCAAATAAATCAACACATCCATCTCGAACAAACCATCGCCACTAACATCTCATCGCCATGACCACTACACGGCACCATACAACACAACCAAAATCACCACATCCACAACCAGTTCAGCCACCGCACCACACCCACAACCACCAGCCAACCAACCCGCACCACAACCATCAACCACATCACATCGCACCACAAATGACAGTAACAACAACCAATCCGCAACCACAATTCCAAAATACAGATCTAAAATACAAATCCAACCAAACCCAACCACCAATCACACCGATAATCATTGATCCAAAACACGAAACCAAAACTATAAATCTGACACCACCTCGTCGTCATGCCAACATCACCTCACAACCATCAACGACGCCTCACTACAACAGCGCCAGGTCGTGACCGAATATAGCGGTGGTTCTGCACTACCCATTCTTCACAGGTGAGAGAGACGAGAAGTAGAGAGGGAATGGGTTTGGGGGAAATTATTTGGGGGTGGAGGGGAGTTAGGGTTAGTTTATAAATTAAATAATTAATATTAAAAAAATTGATTTTTGAAATATTAAAGTTCCAATCTGTTTTAGGAATGTTGAATACTTAAAGTATGGGATTGTGTAATTTCCACTTTAATTAACTCTATTTTTACAAGCCAAGTAAATAACTACTAACGTCCTCTTCATTTTTTTATTTTTTAATTTAGCCAAAAATATAAGAGAAAACAAAAAGGAAAAGAAATGAAATAGAATTTGATAAAGCCCTACTTGGGCTCTATTTTAATTTTAGTATATTTTTTTAATCATTTATTCTTCGATAAAATAATATTATACTGAATTCAAAAAAATTCTTTCTTTTTTAGAATTTTGCTAATTGTATAATCGAGGTTGACAACCTCGATTATACATGTAGCATTTCTCTCCTTTTTAACCACATATTTTCTAAAAAATTGTTGAAAATCACAAGCCCACAAGTTTTTCGGTTGAATGATTTCTGCTTATTAAAATTATTGAACTGACTTTAAATAGCCACTGCAAATACAGGGACTTCAAAAAGTTGCACAACCACATCTCAACAACCCTGAGATTGTGGTGAATCGGCTAAGGACTTGGTCTAATTAAAAACAAACTCAATAGACTTGACTGACTCTCTATTTCTTCTAAAATATAGGATTTTATTTGAATGAACAAAACAGACCTTGACTAGCAAGAACTTCTAACTTCTTCAACCATATCTCAACAATCCTTCCCCTAAACTGAAGCTGCTGAGAGCAGTTCAGTTTACTTCCTTTTTGGCCACAACTCCAAGCATTTTTCGAAGTCTTTCAAATGCTTCTAGCTTCAGGGGTTTTGTTAATATGTCTGCGAGCTGCTCACTACTCCCACAAAATTCAAGTTTCCCAACACCATCCTTTATAAGATCTCGAATGAAATGGAATCTCACATTGATGTGTTTGCGCCTACCATGAAACACAGGATTCTTGGCTAATTGGATTGTAGAAGTATTGTCACAAAATAAAGTAACACACTTACAATGATCATAGCCAATATTATTAAGAACTCTCTGCATCCAGACACATTGACAGGCGCAAGCTACAACAACGACATACTCCGCTTTCGCAGTTGACAATGTTACAATAGGCTGTTTTTGTGAAGACCAAGATACTGCTCCAGCACTCAACATGAATACGAAACCAATTGTACTTCGAGAATCATCAACATCGCCAGCATAATCACTATCACAATATCCCACCAAATCATCAAGCACTTCTCTTCTATAGTATATTCCCATATTGACAATTCCTCTGAGATAACGCTGAACCTTTTTAGCTGCTGCCCAATGTGCTTCTTTTGGATGAGCCATAAACTGACTGA